ACGAATTGTCCGCATTTGCCACCAAAACCATGTCATGGTATAAAAAATCAACAAATTGAAGTTATTGCATTTTAACTAGATTGTATAGGTGCATGATTTTGATGAACATCATGTTGAAAATTGGCTTTGTATTCGAGTGCTAGACAATGAACCTCCTGTCAGCAGGTTTATGGATTGGAATCCCCTCTATAATAGTAAAGGGTATTTAATCTGAGGCGGAAATTTCATTGGACGAAGTACATAACTCTAACAGGTTTTTTTTCAGAGGATGTTCCTCTCGAAGCGTTATCCGCACAATGAGATAAACCTAACCTCAACTATATGTCTATATTCACATCTGAAGTACAAAAACGAGAAATGGCACATTTATACCAACTTGATTTGATTTGTCAGCCATAATTGACAAGACGATTGTACAGAACTCAAGATTTAACATTTTTTTTATTTTTGAAATCCTAGGCATTTTCAAAACAATTTTGAGCTAAAAAAATGAAAAATGTTTAATCTTTAACTTATAACATGATAAGACGATTGTAATTTTTTTTAAATGCATGTTTGGAATTTTTGAAGAACACAAGATTTAACACTTTTTTTATTTTTGAAATCCAAGACATTTTCAAACCAATTTTGAGCTGACAAAAATGAAAATGTTAAATCTTTTGAATTTCAGGTTTCAAAAATGCCAAACGGACATCTCAAACTGAAAATGCAAACATTTTAGAATTAATACATTGTGGAATCATTTTTAACGTTATATTTGTTTCCAAACATAAAAACACAAAATGTTGAACATGCAGCTTTGTATGCTGTTGATTATACATCATTTATTTATAAAAATAACAACATGCTAATTACAATGTGCATACTTGCAAACAATTATTTGACAAAACCTAGCTACTAGCTAGAACATTGTGTCAAAAATTATCGTTTTTAAAACTGATATGAACTCTTGTTAAACTCTTGTCAGGAGGCTTAAGACTATTATTGGCTGACAACCAGTTTGTGAATACCAGTTTGTCTTAAATTTCCAGCAGTTAAACATAAGATAGTGCAAAATTCAATTTCAGGCACCATCCACAAAATAGTTCTATTTATAGTCTGCACTTTTTTTCATAAAATTTCAAATTTTTTGATCAAAATCTAGAAGCAATTTCACATTTTGTTTAAATGAAAATTACAGAAAATATGAACAAATTTACCCAAATTTGAGCAGGAAAAAAATTTGGCGATAATTACATATTTTCGACAAAATTTCAATATTTTTCTGACAACCTCTGATTAGTCAGGTTAGGATTTTAATAGAATTGAAAAAATATAGGATTATACAAAAAAGATGACTGTTAAAATGTTCCACTAGATACTTTCCATGACTCATAAATACTGACAGCATTTTTTGGAGAACCACTTGGTTGAGATTTTGCATTGGTAGTGTATCAGACAAATATGCTACATTACTTAAATGATATTTTACTTTATAATTTTTGATGGATTGAATAAATAAAGTCAATAAGTTAAATAACAATTTCTGAAAAGCAAGTGAATCACCAAGATTGGACACCGACAATGGTCAAAATTTTGTGTGAAAATTGTGAGAAAATATATGAAATAGTACCACACAAGACAAATATTAATCACTTCACCACCAGTTCCCTATTTTCACCACAAGTTCACAAAATAGTCTCAAATATAGTCTGCACTTTTCTTCCGAAAATTGGAACAAAAATAATCAAATGTTTTAAGTAAAATCAGAAAATTGTCGGTTTCAAAATTAGGGTTCATGTCCAAAAATATTGAAGAATATAAAAAAAAGAAAAAGTGTAGAAAAATGTTGGCAGGAAAATCTAGTGGAGAATAGGTTAAGGTACTTTTGTTGTGACTGCGAAGGTGTTTTACATTTCATAACACCATACCATACCTGGTATTTGTTTGAAAGCTAATAAGTTTACGAGAAGACACATTTTGCAAAGCAGACATTAAATTTAATTACCATAAGATAACAGAGACTGGCTCTGAATTTGTTCAGGGATAACAATTTGACCATGAAATAGGCTTCTGAATGTCAGAGTAATCTACAAATCTCCATGACAACAAGATTCTTCATCACTAATACTATCAACAACAAAACACAGAAAATCAAGGATGAAAAATGTTGAAATATTGACATTTTATTCTTGGTTTTAAAAAATTTCAAAATGAATATATACTTCAGAGCAAAAGAAAGATCAACATCCATGGCGCCAGTTAAACTCAGAGAAAATTCTTATTATATAAATATTACTAAACAGAGCAAATAAATGCAATTTTCAGCTAAATTGACTTGCCTGATGATTTAATATATAATACAATATAAATAAACAATGATGTGATTATACATATCTGATTAGAATTTGGTTTGACCATAGATTCAATACAAGAGTACATCAGAACTAAGACATGTGATACATAGAAGGAATTTAGCAGAGCCTTCATTTAACACATTATTATTATCATAAATATACTGGTATGTTTGTATTTATTTATTTATTTATTTGTTTCTAAACTAGGTACATGTGGAATATTAGGTATTTAACAGTGAGAATACAAGTTCTCTATTAGTTTAAATAACATGCTACCCCCGGTAGTTAGAAAGTCTAATTTTAAATATAATTCAGGGATTGCGTTAACCCCATATTTTGCTTCCCGGACTCCAATTATTGAAAAGGGACCCAGTTTTTCAGGCAAGCTGGGGTCCAATCTCTAATAAAGTTATCCAGAGTCAAATTTAAATTTCTTAATATTTTGTAAGTGGGACTCGTCTTGCCGAGACATTAGCGCAAACCCTGTTAAATAACTTTTTGTTCATCACCTTAATGAGAAAGAACTTTTTGAAAAATAAAAACTGACAAAAATTGTACAAAAATAGTATTCTGGTATTTGTTTTCAATGTCTTCATTTGAAAATTGGTTTTAGACAGTCATGTTTTGGCTGTTTTACTCAGCAATTTCTTTACACAGCAAGAATTTTTTTTTTAATTTACCGATAGTCATTAAATGTGCAAAGAGATGGGAAAATGCATTTTTTTTTAATTCTGTTATTAAATAAAAAAGTTCAGGGTGTTTTTATCCAGTGTTGATACAATATGTTAAAGCGTGGGACTGTTAGATAAATTTTCAGTTTATTTTTCCACTGTGTTAAAAACACAATAGGAAACAATAGTATCTCGTGATGCTATGGTGCAATTTAAAAGCTCTGCAAATTCTTCATTTTGTTGAGTGAAAAGTTCCATAAAAAAAAATGAAAAATGGCAAATAAAATGATGACAGGGTATCCAAACTTTGTTTCCATGGAGTGATTTCCCCCATAGCGTTAAACTTTAAAATAAATGTGCGCTTCATGAATATTTACAAATTTGAAAAAAAAAAGCACATGAATGACGTGCATAAAAACTAGTTCAGGTACAACCAAATATTATTTTTTCTATTCAGACTTTCAAATAACCAGTTACATGGAATAACTTGGCAGCATATAAAATATGCCTATATCAAGTTTTGGTAATTTTTAGTTTTGCTTTTTAAAGTTAATTTTTCTGTTGCAAATAGCTTTGTACTTTAGTGTGACCTTGTGTTTTTCTTTTTTATTTGAGTTTTTTAATGTTTTATATAGTAGAAATAAACAAAATTATATTAAAAAAAAAAAATTGGCAGTAATTCCTACATCAATGTTTGTTAGCCTCATCCATACTTGTAGAATGAACTAACACTTGCCACCTGAAAACACATATCCTAGGTAGGGGGTACACACCACTAAGTTTATCTTAAAAAATAATGTCCTTGCTTTATAGATGAACTTCCTTGACATCTCAGATAAAAAATATCATCATTATCTTCACATCTCACCTGTTTACATCCATTTATTCACAAAGGGCTTGGTTTTTCAGTAGATCAAAGTTCATGAAAAAAAAAAATGTTTTTTTTCTGCAAGTTTTATTTCAATTTTACCCGCCACAAATGGTTTTATTGTGACCAAAGGTATTGAATGACTTATGAAAAGATAAAGATGTTGAAATTTGATAATCTTGTGAAAAATTGACAATATAAGGTGAATTATTGGTGGACATTCTTACAAATTATCAACCAATTGACCGATTATATATTCACTAAACTGGTCTGAAATTCGGTTGATTATTTATGAATTTTTACAACAGTTCTAAGACGTCCCTGCAAGGTGGCGGGAGACATAGAAAACTTGGCGGAAAGAGGTGCGTTAAAAACGGATATGCCAGGCCGGGTTGTTTTGTACTCGGATGCGTAGAGACGGAATTATGTAGCGGTGTTATCTATTTACTCATCTTATGGTAGTACAGCTGCGACACTCCGTGCCAGGCGCGGAAACATTTTTCTTTAATGACGCGCCCTTCATAGTTTGAAGTGAATCGGGTAAAAAAATAGAAAAATCGCATTGGAATTGTGACAGTTATTCAAATTTACCGTTTTGCGTGAGCAATATGCCAGTCGCGTGCCCGCTAAAGGATACTTTGGCTAAGTGATTATTTGTTGGGAAGTCAAACAACTGGAACAATTCACTGAAAACTGATACTTTTTGATCAACAAAAGAACAATCACGCGCGCAAACAAAAGAGCATCAACTTTCCGAGCTTTCACTTTAAAAAGCGCATCAGATCAGCCTATTAAGAAACAAACGCGCGGTTTTCAACTTCTTATCGCAAGATTTGTCGCATTATGTTGCCACTAAATGGCTGCCGAGAACAGGTGCTTTGTACGCCATGTTGTTTCACCTGTTTCGTCAAAACGAAACAGTTTTTCACGGTTTTTCCCGGCGTTCGAATGAAAGTTAGGCAAGTCTTTCTCACGCCAAGACGAAGTCTCCACTTATATTAGGCGAAGTTAATAGTTGAAGAAATTCGGAGATGACTTATTAAAGGAAATAAACGGGGTAATGAGTAACTAAGGGTCACGGGTCGTAGAAGCAATAAAGACATTCGAAAAGCAACAACGTCTTACCGCAAGAGCTGGTCTTTCAAGCTGAGCGACTCGCTGATGTTCTCACCGTCTAACGTTTCGCCCATTCTGTCATTAGAGTTGTGTAAAGTTGAAAGAGGCGGTGTCTGTGAACCAGATGACGAAGAGTCGTCAATGGTTTCCGCTATCGGACTCCCATTTTGCTCCTCGTCAATTTTTTCCAGCTCCTCGGACCCGAGTGTAGTATTTTCTTGCTGCTGTTGAAAGCAATGAATTTCATCAATGAGCTCGACTTTACTGATACCGGAGTTTAGAAGCGAAGCGATCAGCTCCTTCTGTAGTGGTGTAAGAGTGCTCGATTCAGACATTGTTCGGCCCGACCCACTCTTGTGCACGTTCTCTCTTTTGTACTGTCGGCAAAATGGATTTCACGACTTGTGCTGGGGCGCGATCATTTTCAGTTGTCCTGTGTCAACAAATTACAACAAGCATGTGTTTGTTTACATAAGCTAAATTCAGCGCCAGGAGTGATGTCGTACACTACCTTTGACCCGGCCACGAGCGCCCTCTCTCGGTTGGAAAAGACCAGGTCTCAAGTCTTTACGTGTTGGTAACGAGCAAAAAACATGAACGTCGCAAAAATAAAATCGACTAGAAAAATAAAATTACTGCATGTACTTTCATGAAAACGAAAATTGTAATATAGTTAAAAAAAGTAGTTCTATAGGTCACTGCGCGTGTGCAAACAATCATAAACGCAACATCAACATTTTATTCATTTGCATACTGGGTAGTACCTACGATTAACAACAAAGGCTGCAGTCAGCTTGGGCGAATATCAAGGGACTTTTCCTGCGTCATTTAAGGATACATAACCAGTTTTATTCGATGTTCTCGTTTACAGAAGGTCTTGACAACAAAGTTACAATGTTTAGGAATGTTCTATGATCCATACCAGTGCAGGAAGACAAGGTTTGGGCGACGTCCAGTGTCTCATTTTTTCGTTGTGTGTGAACGGTTTGCTTATCACAGTGACCGGGAACAAGACGACGATAAATAGTACATTCACAACACCGAGGAGTGCTCGTAGCTCGCTCGTGCCGTTTCACACCAGTGTTGTCAATCACCTGGTATTCAAGCGTCTAGCTAAGAGGAAGTGAACATGTCGACCGACTACGAATGGTGAGTGGCAAGCGAAATAATCCCCAGCAAATGCAAGACGATATTTCCATGCGCATTTGTGGTTGTCCAACCTCTAGCGAGCCTCCCCTCCTCGATATCGTTTTGTCGCATGTGTCGCTGAATTACTCATTTTTAGTGACGTAAATACGTGATCCAAACGCTGTTGGTCATAATTACGTTCTCTTTATATTCTATATTATGCACATTTTGTGTTAATAAGAACGTGCGTGTGTCGAAGATATAAAAAAGGCCATCCCCATAACCTGTTATTTTCACAGTTTATTAAATTTTGTACAGCGTTAGATAGTAAACAATATAGTAAACAAGTCTTTGTACTACTATTTCGTCAGATATAAAAGTGACAATTTGCCAGACAAGAAAAGCAATGGCCACCCCGGTGAGATACGGCATCCGACCGGTTGACCTCTGCTCAAACAACGGCAACAGTCACCTGGTTGAATTTCACAAGTAAGCCGTGAAAGTCGATGTTTTGAATATTCACGAGGTCTCTAAGCTCAATAACTGCAGCTTGATTCTTGGTTGTATCACCGAATCTGACTACAAAACTAGCCGCCCAACGAAAGGCGACCCTAGTAACAATGTGTGCGTTCGCCATGACCGACGTTTGCTAGGGTACCGATTAAGGTCAGGTCAACTATTGTTTGGTCGTAATAATAATTATTAACTTCAGGGTTCCCCATTTGAAAGCGTAGGGGATGCAATTTTGGGAGATGTCATGGTAAAAACAGAAAACAAATCTAACATTTAATGTATAAGAACTGGGGTAAATTTGAATGAAACCCAATTGTTGTCTGGCCTATGTGAATAAATATCTGCCCCCCCCCCCGCAAAAAAAACAACACATCTCTTCCCCTGATAGATTCTCAATATTTATAGACAAAATCAGGTTTTAAAATAATTGAATTTTCTCATCAATGAAAATTAAAAAAATGTTTTACTGACCCACTTATGTAATCCTGGCATTCATTGTAACTCCATTTAAACCATAAACATATTTTTCCTCATTTCTGCAATAAACACACTGACCATTTCAAAACACTAGCAAATACTACAATAAGACAAGACTGGTAATTGCATGAATGCTGAACCAAGCCTTGTACATAGATAGATTTTACCATTTTAAAAGCTTTGTTCCCATTGAAACAAACCCAACGGTTTTCATTGGCAAAAAATCACAGACCATTGTATGTATATGCTCTATAATCTTAAAATAGGACCAGTTAGATTTTGATGTAAATCGAGTTCTATTTTTGGTGCCAAGCCTAACAATACACTATTGCAAAGTCCACTCAGAGGATATCCTTCAGAATCCCAACTTCCTGTGTCTCTCTGATGCAAATGATAAAACCCAGCTGTAATTATAATTGCAGTCGCTAAAAACCAACAGTCTAATGCACAATGCACCATTCTAATTTTGTGTAAATACACTGTATTATGTTTGCTCTATTAGAATTCAATTTCCAATTGGCCTGTATAAACCAAAATAACATTGGCTATATTTCATCACAGAGTGATCATAATGTACTGTACAACACAATACAATAACACTTTATTATCACCGTAAAGAAATTACAATTGGATTCTAAGTAATGAAGTTAAATTAATAAACATGAACACAAAATAATTATAAGTATCAAAATATATATATACTGAATCATTAAATTATTGTTTATTTTGATTTTAGAGAAATCTCTAATTTATGTCAGCTTATACACTACTATTATTTTTCATTATTTTTTCATGTGTTGTGATGCATAGGAGCCATATTGAACATGGCTCTATATTACAAACAGTCCTTGTATTTTAATTATCACCCGAGAGGATAAGAATAATGCTTGTAGTGCATCTATGTGTAAAATTGTCATATACTTCATAAAGTTAATTCAAGTGTATTATTAGTAATAACTTGGTCTAAAATTACTACAATTTGCTCTTGAATTGATACATGGTTTGATTGTTTGTGTATAGATTTCTATTGGCTGTACAAGGTTCAAATGGGTTGCCTTAGTTTCCTTTATGTGACCATTGAAATGTACAATAAGATTCTTTTTGTTAGTCTAAACTCTGTGAAGGTCAAAAATCCTCTTGTTTAAAACCCCATGGTGTACATGTAAAAGATTTTTTTTTAGAGATGACAAAACTTATTTATCTTTCTGAAAAAAAAACTACTGGTACTGTAAAATACTGTAGAATACTTTATTTTTGCTTGGAATTTATTTTCGCTGAAGGTATGATTCAGTGAAAATAAAATCCAGTGAATATACTATTTTCCTCAATTTTACATTCAGCTCATTAAAAAAACAGTGGAAATAAATTCCAGCAAAAAAATAACGTATTGTACAGAATTTATTTATGAATTTAATAAATTGTATTCAATCATTTACAATGCCTGTGAAATAACTGTTGACTGCATTATAACGTCCAAAGTAGATTTAATATATCAACATTTTCACTGAAAGTTTTTAAAGAAAATCACTTGTTGCATGTTAACATTTAATCATTCAGTTAAATTAATTAACGAATATGTAATTAAATTCCCTTCCTAAACCTATTATCTCCTTATTAACACAGTGCATCAATTTCACAATGGCCCACTTTATTATTTTCTGTTACAACAACAAAAAAAGTCTGAGATATAAAATGCAGACCAGATAATTATACACTATATGATTGCTTCCTCTAAATGGCTGTGTGAGGTGCTCCATGTAGTTAAAAACATGCAAATTCAGAGACTACTTGTAAACATCTGGCGCTTGTAAACAATGCAGGTAATTTCCATAAAGCCAGACAAAGGCCTGGCCATGTGCTTTTCATACACACTGAGAGCAGCCTCATTGAACAGCTACATTTCATGACTGCCTCTTCTTCTTCTCCTCAGTCTACCTCAGCTGCTACCTTGTTTGCAAGTTACTTTCTCTGCCTCTTTTCTATGACCCTAAGGGAAAGCTTGAATAATGGGTGCTGAAATTTTACTTCTCAGGTCAATATATTTCTAATTATATGATTGTTTAAACTCTATTTCCATGTGATTTTACTCTGTTTTCATGCACGTTTTCTAATCATAATAATTTATATTTCTTTATATTATAGGGCATATTCCCTAGTGGACTCGTCAAGAGTCTCCACCTTCCTTATTTCAATATTACTTATAGTATATGGGAGTTTCAGGTACGTAGTGCATTTATATATTTTTACAATGTACAGCTGTTATTGATACCCAGTTTGAGAGTCCTATATTGTTATCCTGGCGTTTGAAATAGAAAGCTTGGATATAATACCGTACCTCAGAATTTATACCAGAATGTTAATTGAGACATTTGAATTACTTTTTTCAAAAGTTATTTGGGTCTGTTTCTATAGTAGTGGTTAGCTTTGGAGCAGTTTCTGTTCTTTGTTCAGCCTTGCCTACCATAGCTGTATTGTTGTCGAGAGACCATTGTGAAAAGGAATGGCTATTTGGTACACTGTCTACCGGTACTACCATCCGTTAATGATATTGTGGGTCAGTTGTTTTAAATTTATTTAGGTAAAGGAGCCTATGATTTTAGTCTCTGGACTTGATTGAGCTTTTTTTTTTTGGGGGGGGGGGGGGTTACATCGGTGATTATTTACCAACATCAGCTGAGAGAATCTATATTAACAAATACAGCAAGGTTATAAGAGTGTTAAAATAGTAGGCTACCTATTTGAATTATTGCTAGATTGTGTTGGCTTTTACCATATGGCTGTATTTTGCACACAAAATCTGACTTAGGCTATTTTATTTTTATGAAATAATGCTTAAACAGAAATTTCCATTCAAACAATTCTGAAAAAAGCACATTTTCACATATTTTCAGACAGTTTTTCTTTAAAAAAATTTTCGTATTGAGTAAAAAGAAAAGAAAAAAAAATTGTATCTTAATCAAAAATTGTCTACTTTTAAAAAAGAAGAAAAACAGAAATGTTTTGCACCTGTAAAAAAAAAAGTTGAATATGTAGGACACTATCGACAATGCTCAATTTTACAGGTTTACCGCTAAGTAAGCACGAACAGAGTACAACAAGAGTATCTACTGATGCGACTATATTGTCTGAGTGCATACCCTGTGGTATCCTTGTAATAACCTTATTATTATTATGCATCTTCCCGACCTGACCGTGTAGTGTAATATTCCCAAAACTGAGCAAAATGGTGACAATTATTGAAATGCAGCAAATTACGACACACTGCTGACGATTCGGAAAAGGTGACAGATGTATAATAATAATATATATATTAATTTA